CACAGGCTTGCCACATCCCACATCGCGATAGGAGGATCTATTGCAATGGGACTTTAACGCCATTGCACACTCACGGTGTCCCTGGAGCGTACCCTAGGCGATGTACAACAAGATGTTTCTCAAGCTGGTAATTTTGTCCCCGAGGAGCAATGACGGGGACGCAAAACCATGGAACCGCAAATTCAAATCACACTGTTTTGTTGGCTTGCTATCTACACTTCGTTTCTTTTTATTAAATATGGCAGACCGTGAATAGGGCTTTCTTTAACGTCGGTAACAGAGGGGAGGAGGGAGGGAGGGAGGAGCGAGCGTGGAAGGGAGAGAATATAAAAAGAGAGTAAAGACAGGGAAACCCGAGTTTAAAAAGGGAAACAGAGTGAAATAGAAGGAGAGGGAGAGAGGCAGAGAGGATGTGTTGTGTGATGTGTGTGGTGTGTGTTGTGTGTGTTGTGTGTGCTGTGTGTGTGTGTGTGTGTGTTGTGTGTGTTTGTGTGTGAGAGAGAGGAGAGAGAGGAAGTATTAAATTTCAAGATTGTTTGGGTAACAAGTATAAATTCAGTCTTCCTACACATATATATCCTCTATCATCTACCTGCATTCCGGTCTTACCTGAGGTGTATCTTAAGCGAATATTCCATATCCGGATCATTTGGCTATCCTACCCCTCATTTGGGGGGGGAGGAGGTTTGCATTTTCGAAATATGTTGCTCATAGATCAAACTATATGATGAAAACATAAAGAAAAAAATATTTCATATGAGCGGCATATCATGTTTATTTTTTGTAGGAAAGAAATTTTTAGTTTTTTGGACGCTTGCCGGATTTTTAAAAATTATTCCGAAAAAATGGTTGGTTTCATCTTATGTGAAATTTAATAAGCTTTCAGATAATATCTAATTTTTTATTATCATCTCTAATCATTACGTCACAATTGTCGATTTTCTAAGGTAATGTGAAAAAAATAGATATTTTAGTCGACATCGAAAAGAGCCGCTGCCGCCTAAAAACAGCGGTCGGGCCTTGAAATGTTCAGGGGAGAACCGGGGGCCGTGAAACTCCTTGGAAATGCACTTATCTCGATTTCGTCATTTTCATAAACGCCGACAAAAGACCAGACGGCCCCCTTCAGTGAAACATTCTTACGAGATATGTATGTGGACGCTGATAGGCCTGGCACACACGGACAGACCAAAACACAGAGAAACAGACACACAAACACAGACACAGATACAAAGCGCAACAGAGACTCACTGACAGATTGGTCATGATCATATTTATTTTCATTAATGATTTAGGGCCAAACATAAGCCCAGGTAAATTATATGAATGTGTTAGCAGACGGCGTGGAAATTGCAAGTGTAACAGACGATTTATTTCAAGAATGCATTCGGAGGGACGTCGGAAACTTCGGGAGCGGCCGGTGACTGACGCATGGGGCGCATCAGAGAGAGAAATGGCCGAACCTCCCACGCTGGGTCAGGGCGGGTGGGCGGGGTTGATGTGGGCTTCGTCCGGGATCGCTGACTCAACCTTTGCGACGTCGATGGGCGTGGCTGGCTTCGAGCAGGTTGTCTTTGATTCTGGGTTGGCATAGCTTGAGTCATCCTCGGTCTTCGCAAGCCCAGTCGCCGTCGTTATGGTGCCATATCCCTGATAGGGACACGCACGTAGACACCCAATATACAAATATGCATAGAAGTACACACACATTTTCGCGCAGTGAGGCAAATGCGTTTTCTGTTTGTTTGACGGGCAGCAACCAAGATCAGACCGCGCGTGAAGTTGGCGGAAGCAGCAGTTAAAACTGGGCCTAAGACACGAAGAAAATGTAAATTCGAAAGAAATGTTGGTTAATTTGCTCAGGAACACAACCATACGGAGAGAATTCTGTAAAGTCTGACAAATAAATTAAAGGACAAGAAAAAGGCAGAATAGTGGAAACCAAGATGGCGAACGGGAATCAAATGGATTCGCAAGAAAAAGTCAAATTGAAGGACAGAAAGCTGTTAAGCAGACAAGGCACAAAGAAAAAAAAAAGGACAGTTACAAAAATGACGGGGACACAGGTTAGAAAATGACATCACAGAGGTGATAAGATAAAATGATCTTGAAGATATTACTGGAGCAACACGCAAGGAATACTGCTGATCTCATCGAGGTAAACAAGAAGTCCTTATTGGGACTCGAAGGAGAAGTCGCAGGGTTTGACTGCCACTCTGGTTTATCCTCAAAAATCTTAGAACGAATGGGGTAAATGGAAATGGAGGGCGGGGTAGCAATATTAACAACAAGGAATCTTTATAATGGAGGAAGATGTTAATTTAAAAAAAACAAGGTAAACATGCTAATCACCAACACCTTCATGCCACCTCATGCATCGGTGTGGTCACGAGGAAATTGCCAAAAACTAATTTGAGACACCTTAGAGCCCGCAAGTGCTGCAACTTTCGGAACAAATGCAAAGAAAAAAAAATCTCCAAAAAGTAACGGCTCATTAGAGTGTAAGACAGATCGCCTAAATTCTTTGCCTAATATTCACAATGCATAAAGATATAAAGGATATGGGGTCCTGCCCTTCTCTAAGAAAAATGGCCATATCAGAGTTAAACTAAAATTGCAACAGGAAAATATAATCTTTGTGAGGAAAGAAAGGGAAGTACTACTGCAAGAGATATTTATAGATGCCTTGGGAACTCTGATGGCATAAACTAGGAAACAATTTTGGACGTAGAGAACACTGAACAGTGAGAGGTGGACTCATGAACGAAAATAAGACCAGTAACTAGCGACCTCAGGGAACGGACTTGGTACTGATGTTTACTATTTTCCTTAATGGTTTAGGCGCAAACATAAGTTATCTGAATACTTTTGCGGTAGACGCGAAATTACAAAATGATAATAATAATAGCAAATAAAGATAACAGACGACGTCTCAAGCCAATACCTTCATAGAGATTTTTTCATGTAAAGTTGTACCTGGAAATGGATTTCACCTCCAATTAATTCCATGTATAACCCACCTACGTAGATGGACTACAAGAAAATAGGACACTCCTTAAATTGAAGGAAAAGGGAGGACATAATTATGCTATTCAGGTATGCAACAGCTATTTTGAAAACAATCTCGCACACAGTAAAATACACCAAAATAATGATGTTAAAAAGTTGAAGGAACATTTTTTTAAATAACGTTGTGTGCCAAAAATCGTGTATCGATTTAAAGTTATGTAATAATAGCAGGCGGGACCCTCTGAACTCTCTGAATTCCTCTACTGCCCTCCCTTTGTATACAGCATTTAGTAAATGTTTAAGGATGTGTTACATCTTAAGTATACCTCAGTTTTAATAAGTGTTCAGCTGTGTAAGTTATTGCAGTACTTAATTTCTCAATGATATTTTTATTGTTTCTGTGCGGTTTTCTATGTATGTAATACTACGCTGTCAGGATACAGACGAACCAATATGAAATATAATAGTTTGCCTTTTTAGTATTAGTTTTCGTTGTATACGCCATACTTTTTGATTTAAGGGTAGGCCATTATATTTCACTGCCACCCTATCATACCAAGGTTCCATGATTAATATTTTAATTTCCTTTGCTTTCGCGTCGTTTTTGAGCCTTAAATTCTATTCCCCTTATCACTGCTTTGTGAAGGAAATGCGAGAGAGGAAAAGCGTTTCAGAATATTACGTACCAGCAGATGGCAAGGTCAGAGTCTTAATTTCAATAAATACCGGAGGGT